TTTCAAAATATATATTCATATCCCTAAGCACTGTGTCACTGTTGGATTTGTATTTTCCCCTTTAATTTAATTAAAATACGGCATTTTTAATATTTTTCACTGTTTCAGTTCTGTCTTCCTGAGCAGTCTCTTGGCCATTTCTGTTTGGGGCTTTATGTCTCGATCTAAAGTCCATTGCTGCCACAGCCTTAGTCCAGTCAGTGCATGTACACCACACCGGTGTGTGAGATGCTGCTCTGAAGATTTTTATCCCCTGTATTTAACTTAAAATTCAATATTGTTATCTTTAATGACTTTCTGATGAACATGAAACCTTTAGAATGCTTTGACTCTTTACCACTGTCCCTAATTTTTATTATTTTTGTCTACACTTTTAATCACATGTTGGTGTTTAAAATTTTTCAAATTAAATATATAGCTAGTGTTTTGCATTTACTTACATGTTTAACTTGTTTTGCTTACCATTCTTGATTTTCTTTTTTGAGACAGTCTCACTATGTTGCTCAGGCTGGTCTTGAACTCACTGTGCAGCCCAGGCTGCCTCCTGCCTCAGCCTCCTGAGTGCTGGGATTATAGCGGTGTGCTGCCACACCTTGCATCTTCAATTTTAGTCCATCCTTAGGAAGTAATTTCCCTTTTTTCCTGATTTATTTCCTTAGAAGTTCATGCAGTGAGGATCTGTTGGTCATGGACACATTTCTGAGACTTGAGTTTAAAGTGCATTCTAGCAGAGATGTATGTTTATTGCTGCTAAATGTCTACAGGCACTACCAACCTGAGACACTTTAAATTTTTGACTTGGGGCTTTTCAGACGAGACAGATCATACAATTTAAGCCCCAAACCTGGTTGAAGGCAATATTGTGGTTAAGGATTCTCGGGAAAGGTTTGTTTTCTTTCTTTCCTTTGTGCTCAACCAAGAATGAAATGAGCATGAGCTTAATCATCCTCTCCCTTGTGTAGCACACGAGTATTTTTTTCGACTTTACACAGTGAATACCCTTTTTGGCATTCTAGGTTTGTGTCATGCATGTCATATACTAGTTGTCTGTTGAAGCCTGGGCTTTGGGCAAATGCTAGCCCCTGCATGCTTGTTTATCCCACTAGATTCCTGCTTTCCCATCATTTCTGGCCTTCGAAAAATTGCCTCACTTTCCTGAGCTCAGAAGCAAGTTTTGAGGGGTGGGGCAGACTTGATCTAGCAATTTTAGATATGCTATCTGAATATCAAATCTGCAGTAGTGTTATGAGCTTTGAGCAATAAAATGAACTGTCTTGAATTACACAGTTTTACAAATTTTACTCAGTTCCTAAAGAATTGGGTTACTAAATCTATTCAGTGAAATAAATGTCCACCTGTTTGTTCTGAGGCACGGGGGAGTTGAACCCAGGGCCTGTGCATAGCACTAGTTTACTGCTCTATTTTTTTTATTTTGAGATAGGCTCACTAAGTTACCCAGACTGGACTTGAACTTGTGGTCCTCCTGTTCAGCTTGTCAGAGTGCTAGCATTATAGGAGTGTGCTGCCATGCCCAGCTAGACAAAAAGAAGCACATAACAACATATTTTTTATCATATTTTAAGAATATTCCAAGTAATAATGAAATACTACTTAACACTTCATGGTTGTCATTGTTAGAACAATTTTCCTGATGTCTCTTGGGGCATAAATAGATTTTATTTTATTCATGAATTTGGAGTTAGAAATATCAAGGTTGTGATAATTATGTGCCCTTTTCAGCCTTTAGAGACAGTTCTTTCAGCAGCTTTAAAGTGAAAGTAAAATGTAACCTCTTTCACCAGCTGCCTAATCTGCCATGTTATTATTACTGCTTTGAACCTTTTTAATAAACCACATGAAATTTTGCCCATGTCAATATAAAATCAGTTATTTTCTTAATAAGTCAGTACATAAGGGATGTCCTTTCTCTTCCTCCCTGTGTATGTTAGTAATACTGAATAGAACTTCGTTTTGGAAAATTGGTGTGGGTGTATGACGTATCTTTTTCATTTTCAGTTCTGTTACCCTCCTTTCCTTTTCCTCCTGGTTCCCTTCCTCATCTCTGAAAGTCTACCTTCTAAGTTTCCTGTCATCTTTATTTTATTTATTTGGCTTCTCATATAAGATAAAAAATGTGATACTTAACTTTCTGAGTTGGTTTATCTCCATTAACATGATGGTCTGCAGCTCCATCCATTTTCCTGCAAATAATAATATGTTTTAAATGTTTATGACAATAACATTCTAACATATATATACATGTATGTATGATGTGTGTGTGTGTATATATGTGTGTGTGTGTGTGTATATATATATATGTATGTATGTATATATATATATATATATATATATAAACTTTTTTTTATCCACTCATCCTTTGATAGGTATCCAGGTTATTTCCACAGCTTAGCTACTTGGAATTGTGCTGCCATCGACATGGGTATGCATGTATCACTGACTATAGTATGCTGTCTTTACTTCTTTGGGGATATTCCCAGGAGTTGGAATAGTTTAATTAAATGGCAGCTCCACTTTTAGTTTTTGAGGAACCTCCATACTGAGTTCCATAGTGATTGTACTAGTGTTTACATTGCCACCGGCAGTGTAGGAGAGACCCTTCCCCCACCCTTGCCCAGTGTTCATTGTTTTCTCTGTTCTTGATGATAGCAGTTCTGACTAGAGTGAGAAGAAATTTCAGAGTGTTTTTAATTTGCATTCCCCTAGTGAATTCTGAACATTTTTCAAAAGATGCTGAACATTTTTTCTTATATGTATTGGACATTTGTACTTCTTTTGAGAAATGTCTATTCGGTTCATTTTCCTGTCTTTTAGATTGTTTGGTTTGGAGGTTGTGCTGTTGGAGTTCAGGAGGTCATGCCTGTGCCTGTGGCTTTAAGTGTTTCGTCTGTGTTTCTTCCAGCAGTTTCAGAGTTTCTAGTTTTATACCTAGTCGTTGATCTGTTTCAATTTGATTTTAGTACAGAGTGAGAGGAATCTAATTTGAATCTTCTGTATGTCTGTGTCCAGTTTTCTCTGAACCATTTGGTAGAAGGCTGTATTTTCTCTAGTGTATGATTTTGGGCCCCTTTGTCAAAACTCAGCTTGCTGTAGGTGCATGGACTTGTTTCTGTGTCTTCTGATTATCCTGTTGGTGTGCATATCTGTCTGTTATGATGGCTTTGTAGTATAACTTGAAATAGAGCATTGTGATGCCTCCGGTATTTTGCTCAGGATTGCTTTAGCTATTCTGATTCCATATGGATTTCAAGATTTTTGTTGTTGTTGTTCCATGAAGGATGTTGTTGATATTTTAACAGAGGTCACACTGAAGCTGTGTAGATTGCTTCTTGTGGTAATATGGTCATTTTTAGTCCAGCCAACCTATCAACAAGGAATGTCTTTATTTTCTAATGTCATCCTCAGTTTCATTTTTTAGTTTCTGTAATGTTCATTGTAGATGACTTTCATCTCCTTGATTAGGTTGATTCGTAGGTATTTATTTTTGTTAAAGCTACTGTGAATGAAATTTTTCCGGTATGTGTTTCATTGGGTTCACTAGCAGTAGTGGCAAACCTGTGGCATGCGTGCTGCAGCAGGCTGTTTGCATCATTGAAAGCTCTAAAAGGTTCACCATCACAGGTGTAGGGGAACACTACTGAATTTTGTGTATTGATTTTGTATCCTTTGGCTTTGTTAAATGTGCTGATCACATCCAAAAGTCTTCTGAGGGAGTTGTTTTGGAGTCTTTTATGTAAAGAATCATACTGTCTGCACATAGATTGACTTCTCCCTTTCCTATTTGCATCATTTTTATTACTTTTTGTTGCCTAATTCCTTTGACTACAGTTTCAAGTACTATATTGAATAGAAGTGGTAAGAGCACATGCTCTTGTCTCATTCCTGATTAGAGAACAGTGCTTTCAGTTTTTCCTATTCAGTATGATAATTGGCTGTGGGTTTGCCATACATGGCTCTCATCAATTTGAAGAAAGATCCTTTTATACCTACTTTCCTCAGGGTTTCTTTTTTTATCACAAAGGAGTCTTGAATTTTATTGAGTGTTTTTCTGCATCTACTGAGGTATATCCCCAGCCCTTTTTTCTATTTTTTATTTTGAGAATTTCACTAATTTGTAGAGTTGCCCAGACTGGGCTCAAACTTGTATGCTTCAAATTTCTTGCCTCAGCCACCAAGAGTGTTAGGATTACAGGTTGCATCTGTGTTCATCAAGAATATGAGTCTGCAGTTTTCTTTTTTCGTTAAATCTTTAAACATATTTGGTGTCAGGGTAATGCTAGCTTCATAGAATGAATGTGGAAGTGTCCCTTATTTTTAATTACATGAAGAAGTTTGAGGAGCCTTGGTGTTAGTTCTTCTCTAAACTTCTGGTAAAATTCAGAAGTAAATCCATTGGTCCTGGGCTTTTCTTATGTGCTAGGTTTTTATTACTCTATTAGTCTCATTACTTACTAACAATCTCTTTAGATATTTTATTTCTTCTTGGTTCAATTTTGTTAGAACATATATGTCTAGGAATTTATTTCCTCTAGAGTCTCTTTATTCATTACAGTATAAGTTTTCAAAATAATTTCTAATCCTCTGGATTTTGGTGGTATCTGTTGTAATTTTACCTTTCACATCTTGTTATCTTTATTTTTTGAAAAATTTTATATTTGACAAGCTATAGTTTTTTGCTTAGGGAAAATACATTCCATCTTAAAGCAAACAGGAATAGTTTAGAGTCTTTTTCTTTCATATATTCATGGTCCTCTGGGCCTGGATACCAAATACTTAATGGAGTAGCTTAATTGGGGAAGCATCATATTATATGCTTCCCCACCCCAGTTGGTGAGTGCTGCATGTGCCTGTTTGGACTTCTACATACTTGATTAGAAGTATTTTCAAGTGTACTTAGTACAGCACATACTTACACTGATAGTAAACTGTTCACAGTTTGTAAAAGAAGTAAATGACCTATTACTCTGTCTTCATCATTGTAGGGTAACAGTGAGCAGCCAGTCCCAACTAGCAAGATTGGACTGGGCAGGAGAGAGTATCAGAGCTTACAACATCGCCATCATTCTCAGCGCTCTAAGTGCCGTCCACCAAAGGGCATGTACCTGACCCAGGAAGATGTGGTTGCAGTTTCTTGTAGTCCCAATGCAGCCAACACCATCCTGAGGCAACTGGACATGGAACTGATCTCACTAAAACGCCAGGTATTTTTTAATTTAATTAAATTATAATTAAATAATAAATAATTAGTTAATTAATAAATTATAATTAAAATTCTTTAATTTAATGATTCTGACCATTTTTGCTTGCTCACTTCCACATAGGAGAGGCTCTGTTGTTCACAGGTTTTTCTCAGCCATCCAAATGAATCCCACTAATTGAGTTCTATAGTCTTGGCCAAACTGTGTAGCCTTGGTAAGCTTCAGCTCCCTGTCTGGAATAGCGGGGAACAATCAAACCTCTCTTATGTACTGTTGGGAACTATTTGCAGTGACACATGTACATTATTCAAGTGTTTGGCACATCTTAAATGCTCAGTAAGAACTGTTGTCTTCATCATCAGTAGTAGCAGCTATAGTCTTGAGAGAATATCATCATGATCAAGTGGTGGCTAAGAATCAGGACCTAGAGTCTATGAACCTTTAAATTCTGATTTAGGCTACACTGTCTCTACCTGTGTAACCTAAGAGCGCTATTTAACTTCTCAACCTCAGTTGCCTGGAAATGAGAATTAAAATATGGTTGTAGTAATCCAAGCTGCTCAGAAGGCAGAGGCAGGATGACCCTAAATTTGAGACCTTAGCAAAGAAACCCTGTTTCAAAATAAAAAAAATTAAAAGGGCTGGGAATATAGCTCAGTGGTGGAGCACTTGCCTAGCACGCTTGAGTCTCTGAGTTCAAAATAAACTGCAGAAAAGAAAATAAGGTGGTCAGAAGGAATTCAGTTAGATAATATATAATAAGTACTTAAAGCAGGGCCTGATACAAGTTCTCTGTGAATGGTTGTCAGATCTCTGCCTTTCTTGATCTTCTTTTCCTGTGTTTGTTTGCTCTGTCGTTTTCCTTCCTCTCTTAGATCTGGGTACTCTCTGAAATCAACCAGCCCTACACTACATGCCCTTAACTTTTGAACCTGTTTTTTCAAGCTGTGACTTTTCTTCCAAGATTCACAGCTATAGTTCCAGCTGCCTGCTAGATCTTTCTCCAGAAGATTTTTTTGCTTCTTTCCTTTCTGTTGAAACATCAGAATCATCTCGTTCATCCTTGCCATTATCCCTCCTCTAGCATATGTAAACCCAGGTCGTCATCAGTTTATAGGATTTATCTCTGAAATGGCCTTTAAATTTTTATTCATTTGCTTGGTTTGGGTTTGCATGTTTGTTTTTGTTTTTTGAGACAGGGTCTGCCTGTGTAGTCCAGATCAGCCTTAAACTTGCCATGTGGCTCAGTGTAGGCTCAGTTGAGATCATCCTGCCTCAGCCTCCACAGTGCTGAGATTGCAGGCTGGTGCCACCATGTTTGGGCTGACTCCCCTCATTTTGACGCTGTTACTGCTAGCCTTGTTTCAGGCCTTCCCTCCTCTTGTCTGACAGTAACCATCTTGCTTACTCTTTCTGTCTGCTTGTCCTTAGCTCCAGGTGACACGGTTTCCAGGGCTGACATTTAAAATGTTGGCCTGATGAAGTCCACGCCGCTAGCTGCCCACCTTGAGGACATAGACAGGGTTTGTAAAGGTGATGTCAAGGATTTTGAAATTCAGCCTGAATTAGGAAATGGCTGAAGAACTTTAAAACAGCTGGGCTATGGTCATACCATATTTATATTTTCTAGCTGTGTACCTTTTCCTTTTGTGATGCATCCCAAATTTATCACTTTGTATTTAGAACACATGATCTTTAGAAAAGCAGATCAGATTTCCCTATCCCTTGGCCCTGATTGTTCACCCAAACTGGTCTTCTGTTTCTCTCACCTTCCATAGCAAACCTCCTATATGAATACCTGTATCAGCTTCTTCTGCTTTCTTGCCACCACTTATTCCCTACATCTTTACAGTCTGGGTCTGCCCATACCCTCTTCCTGTTCTGACACTGAAGAAGCCTGTCCTGAGATAATCTGTGACTGAACAGAGTGGTGCACACCCATAACCCCAGCACTCCAGGAAGCGGAGGCAGGAAGATGGCAAGTTTAAGGCCAGCCTGGGCAAATTAACAAGACACTGTCCAAAAAAAAAAAAAAAAATCATCTGTGAATGAATCGCCAGGTCTCATGTCTAATGTTTGCCACTGCCAGCCACTTCTAGCTTCTTGAAATTCTTTTCTCTGGGCTTTTATGACCCTACCTTCTCTTTAGATATATGTATTGTAGGGGATTATCTTGGTCTATAGTCAGACTATGAATGTCTGCAAAAGACTCCGGTCTTCTAGAGTACAACACTCTGCCAGGCATGATAGTGCACACCTGTAATTCCAGCACTCGGGAGGCTGAGGCAGGAGAATCACTGAGAGTTTGAGGCCAGCCTGGGCTACAAAGTGAGCTCAAGGCCAGCCTGAACTGCATAGTGAGAACCCCATCTCTAAAAAGACCAAAAGAAAACCAACACAACACTCTTTTCTAGAAAACCTGTATTATTTTGAAAGTTATCAAACAAAACAAAGGAACAAAATGTCCTAAGTCACTTGTATTCACACTTCACCCTCAATACTACAACCACACATAACAGACTGCTTTTTCTGGCTTTTAAAGAGAACTCCATTTTAAGCTTTAATCTTTTCCCTGGTTGTTCTTTTGACAGTGTCACATAGTAAAGGTTTACCTCTGTAGGTTTATCTCAGACACACGGACACATACACTGTGTCCAGGCTGATGCTCCTGCTCCCCCTTGCTTTCTGACTTCCCCGTCTCAGTGAGTAGTGCTGCATACACTCATCTGCTCAGCTGGCCAGTCATCCTGGAATCCTCCTCATCCTGCACAGTGAGGGAGAGCTTAGTTTTGTTTCAGACTTTTTCTTCAGTCCATCTATATGTACCACCATCCTTTCATTCCTACTGTTTTATGAAAGTTTTCTTAATTATTTAGTATTTCTCACCTGGACTGTTAAATTAATCTATTGTCTTCATTCCATTCTGTTCTCCATACTGCTGGAAATAGCTTTTTTATAGTGAAATGTCATGTAGTTCTTTGCTTAGGATACTTCGTTTCTTTCAGTCATTTGGTAGAATCCAAATTCTTTGGTCTCACCCAGCCTAACTTCTTGCCCAGGCCGCTGGGTGTGGCTCTACCCTTGAATGCTTTTCTTCTTAGAGCGCCTTCCGTCTCCACAGCCTGTGACCTGCATGAGCTCTTCCTGGTTGGGGATCAGCTTCTCTAGAATGTCCTCCCTGGATCTCCCTAGCACCTACCCAGCCACACATATACAGGCAAATTTACTGTTTTATTCATTCTCGCTCTCCCTCTTCCCACCCACCTGACAATGTTAGATGTTTTAGCATTTATCATATTTTTTTGTTCATTTCTCTTCCCTTTATTCTGTGAGATCCTTAAAAGACTTTACATTTTATATCTGTATGTGTATTGGACATGGCCAGCTTACCGTAGACCATCCAGTGTTTATACATTTTAGCTGTCTTGTGAAGATCTCACACATTCACAAATTACTTTAGAAATATTCGGTGGGAAGTGTCCAGGAAGAAAAAAATAATCTTCACCTTTAATGTTCTAAATGGAAATGACAGTAATGCTTGTAGAGTAATAGTGTAAATGCAGATATAGTGTAATTTAAATGCAGATTGTACCTTGTACATTTTGTGGCTTTGGAAAGTCTTTACTGTCTTACAGTCTTAATCTGTAAAGTGGTTATAATAGAAGTACAGTCAGTTCTGCTGTAACTTGTTATAAAAACAAAATTTATTCTATTGCAGTTAATATACCAGGTATCAATTACAGCATAGTGTGAGTTTTGTGTTATTTAAGTATGATCTGGTCAGTGAAAAACTGTACATAATTCAGGTGTGTACTGGCTACCTCAGTTCACTGTGTTATAAACCACACACATCCGATCTTAAAACCTTGATGTCATTTAAAATAACCATATTACCCCTTTACAAAAACTGACAAGCTGCAGCCCTTTTGATGCTCACTTCTCGTACCCAGCTTTCAGATCTTTTTCAAGGTAAAGTAACATCTAGTAGCATTTATGGGTTTGTTTCCCTTCCTTCCCTCCCTTTTCCCTCTTCCCTGCCTTCCCTCCTTAATTCCCTCCCTCCCGTCTTTCTTCACACCCTCCCTTTCTTCCCTGGAGATTAAATCCAGGGCCTTACACATACTGGGAAAATGCTGTACCTCTGAGCTATATCCCAGCCCACATTTTTTTTATTTTCTCAACCATTTATAATGTACAAAACTCTTCTCTCATTTTTCTTAGATTTCTCTCTTTTCTTATTTGTCATTGATGAAGTTTTTGAGTGCTGTATCCCAGCCTACTTTTCCCGATAAAACCTGTGGTTTTTATTGTGCATTTTGCATAGTACAATGCCTTTTTAAGAATGTATATGTTAAAGCAGAGCTGATTTTACTTACCTCACAGGTGGTTGTGAGAATCATTGTGCTTTATTATGTATAAACTACAAAGAATGAGATTTTATGCATAATAGATACCTAATAAATATTAACCACTATCATTCTTCTTATAAGAATAAATGTTATTTGGTTGAAACATTATGGTAGTGAGAAATGTGAGTGGAATTTAACTGGTATCAGTGTTAATTGACTTGGTTATAAAAGAAAATTCAGCACTCAGGAGGCTGAGGATCATTGTGAGTTCAAGGCCAGCCTGGGCTACGTAGTGAGACCCTGACTACGAAAACAAAAACAAACAAACAAAATGGTAAAATACATTTTAAAACAGATTTATGGTATTCAAAGTTACTAAAAGTCTTAATTCAAACTCTTAAATGTGTAAATTAGTTGCTATGTGGTATTTGTTGAATTGGGTGGTCTGTAACACCCTAGGTGTGATAAATATGTCTATTCTTCTGAAATAAAATTTAAGAGGTTTGGTGTGTATCCTTTTGTTTTACTTGAATGCTCAAAAATTTACCTGTTACATTACCTGATTCATGTTTTGGCTTATTTTATTGAAGGTTCAGAATGCTAAGCAAGTAAACAGTGCACTTAAACAGAAAATGGAAGGTGGGATTGAAGAGTTCAAACCTCCTGAGGTATGATGCTGAAAAGTAAATGCAGTTACACAGAGTGAAACCTTGTTCACTGGGTTCGCCATTGTTCAAGTGCCATTGGTCACGTGTATTGTTACTATTGTAAAGGTTTCTCAGTGTTAATAATTTGTTAGATATCTCTTCTCTTTTAGTCTGTAGATATTTTGAGATGTGGCTAATCTGTTTGTACCTGTTAAATTATTGCTTCCTGCCTTTATAGATTTTTATTAAGCAAAGCACTTAGTGAAATAACTATAGGAGCAGGCACAGCGTGTAGGCAACAAAGCAGGGTGAGGAGCCGTGCATTCTGGGTCTGCAGCGCAGTTTCCTCAAAGCCCTCTTCTGCCTGTGTGAATCCATGACACAAGCAAAGGAGTTCATTTCAGCGCATTTTTATTATCATTTAAGATATTTGTCTGTTGGCTCAGATTTTCAATTAGGATTTTAGTGTGTGAGCTTATATTCTTGTACTTATATCCCTGAAAATATAAAAATCTAAAAACAAGATATAGATTGACCCTTTTCTCAAACCAAGACCTAACGATGTAGTCATCAAAAGTACTTAAAGCTGTCTCGTTCCAATCACATTTTCACAGAAGTTTCTACTATAAAATCTTTTCTCTTTTTTAAGACTCCTGTGTAATTCTTCACACCTTGGATTTGCCTTTCTTTGTATATGATAACGTTACTTCATTCCCTGCCTATAGGGATTCCCTCCCTGTAGGGATTCCCTCCCTGTAGGGATTCCCTCCCTCTAGGGATTCCCTCCCTGTAGGGATTCCCTCCCTGTAGGGATTCCCTCCCTCTAGGGATTCCCTCCCTCTAGGGATTCCCTCCCTCTAGGGATTCCCTCCCTCTAGGGATTCCCT